TTTACAAACTTGTTTCTCCTGAGAACACAGAACAACGTCGACCTAGTTGATGCAGTTTGTTCCATTTTTATACAAAAGTGCACTTTTTTGAACATCCATTAAACATCTGACAATTTTTAAATAAAGCTCAAAAGAGTCCAGATGATGTTCAGATCATATTTATCATGGAGACGGTGAAGACACGACACATTCACAACAACAAACTACAACAGGTACGTTCATTCAGTAGTTTTACATGCTACGTACACACAACACAGCAGCTGTACGGTCTAATGGAGTGACACACACCCGTCCATTCTCATTAACATTAAATATGTTCCGAGTATAAAAATAGCACTGATGTGACAAGTGTTTATGATTACATTGTGATTTTTACAAAATAACATTTTTATTATGTACACAAATATACACGTGTATCTCAGTATTTACATCATTTGGACTTTTCAGCAGCTATTTTTTGCAAAATATTTATTAGGTTTTTATAGAATGTTTTACTTTCTTCCAGGGAGTATGTTTCACATGGTGGGCAGCCATCCTGAAAATCAAAAGAAGACGTAAAATATGGATTGGAACATATTTACCGTAATCTCCGGACTATAAGCCGCTACTTTTTTCACACGCTTTGAACCCCGCAGCTTTTACGATGCTACGGCTAATTTATGGATTTATTTTTATTAAACCAGCCATGTTAAAGGCACTGTTCAGAAAAAAAACATTTACTGCACGTATTTGTGTTACCAGTACATATTGTAGCATTCTGCTGTGCATGACTGCTGGTCACATGGCCTCAGAGAGGGATTATGGGTAAAATGTGCATTAATTTCAGTTAGCTGTTTAACATTGTTATTTTAGTGATCAGTTTGTTCTTGTTAGTCGAGTTTATGTTCATCATGTGTTAGATTGTGTTAGGTCATTCAGTAGAATAACCCTGAGTGAGGGAGGTAGTTGTCATGACGACCTGTGGGGTTCACTCTGTCTTAGAGCTGTCATTTCTAACCCAAACCCGAAATCTGGCCTGGACTGACACGGATTAGGGCCGGTCTGTCCCGGTTATAATGTGATTAATGGGCGGGCCGTGCCAGTCCCAGGCTTTTAATTAGGTCAGGATCAGCCGCGATCAAATTATATGATAACATGGCCTGCCATAAATCCACCGGCCGCACGCAGGCATTTCACCGCGAGCTGACCGGCCTTGAAAGAGTTAAAAAGTTCAGTTAAGCTTCAGATGGGACTGTACTGCCAGGAATCGATCCATCACCCAAATGGACGTTCGTTCAGCTGCTGCACCCAGCGGACGCACGCGGCCGATGACCCGGACAGGTGAACCTCAAAGCAGCTGCGTGTCAGAGCAGGGTATTCAGACGAGCGCAGCAGAAACGGGTTTAAATGTTTTTTATGGCCATGAAAGGACAAACACCTCTCAGCTCCAAATCTTCTGCCACGTTTATTCAGCTGCGCGTCCTCGACCGTTAATAAATATGTCCGGGGGGTTCTGGGTAAGGGCCTGTAATTACTGTTAATTCTTCGGGTCGGCTGGGGCCGGGTGGGATCAGATTTTTGGGGCCTGAATGCAACTCTAGTCTGTGTGAACAGTCAAGTCTATAAAACATCTGGTGGCTGGTTCTTGATCTACAACAAGAGCTGCGCATCTCGCTGAGTCCTGCCACACTGCAGTATTTAAAGTTTAAAAACGCTTCGGTGTAAATATCTCGTCATCTCAACCAACGGCTTATAGACCAGGGCGACCTATATATCTACTCATTTTTATTTTTAATTTAGTGTGTGTGTTATTTTTTCTTTTAGATTCAGGTGCGCTCAATAGTCCGGAAATTATGGTACTTGAAAAAAAATCAGAAGATGGAACATGAATAAATGTAGAAAAACTGACCTCAGGTTTCAGGTCTTCATTGAACTCAGAAATGCACGGCGCTTTGGGATCATTAATGTCCTCCTCGGCAATAATCATCGTCAACTCCAACATGTAACATCTGAGCACCTTGTTTTTACACTGGTCCTAAAAAGAACGAGCACGTCCCTGAATGTGAGTCGCTTCGTTCCACTACACAACAAGTGGAACGTTCTAAAACAAACACAAAACTGCTTTTTAAAGGTTTCCTCTTATTTTGTTACAAACCGCTACAATTTTTTAAGGGTCCAGTAAGTTTTTGTCACAGGCGTGTTTCAAAAGATGGACAAACAATTGTTCGTTTAAAATGATGAAGCACTAATTTTAGGTCTTCGATGTTGAACGTAATTTTTAAAGACGACACCAACAACAAACGGTGTGGAGCGACTGAAGCTGAGCTTTTTTCAGCGCAGCTTTGTTCTCTTCTCAAACAATGTGTGTGGTAATTTAATTACTTTATGAGCTGCCATGCTTTGTTTTAATCATGTGTTTTCTTCGTGGTTCTAACCTCGGCTCTCTAACACGCCCAGACCGTCACTTAAGGGCCCAGAACGCTCCATCCGACGCCGAACAGTCGATTTGTAGAACAGAACAGAATAAACCTTTATTGTTATTCCACCTACATACAAAAAAATGTGGGTTTGCTAATGTATATAGTTTTATATTACACTGGTTTTATTAATATATTAATATTAGGCCTATATTTAGGCACGCCAGGGTCGGAGAGCCAAGGCCCATGGCGTCTTGCACCTGACGCGTATGGCCCCGCCCCCCTGCAGGTGGTGGCCCACAGGGAAACAAACCCACGTTGCAACTTCTTGTAGTCCTGCAGACCATGCTGCCATAACCATAACTAACATTAATGCAAGACTAGTCAGGCATTTGTTACAAATATGCCAACTAGCAATAATTTGTATAAATGTGGCTTGTTAGGCTGATTGACAATTGTGATTTGATAGTTATAAAAATGTTTTGATAGTTATAAAAATGATTAACAGCCACAATTTGAAAATTTTTAACTACTTCAGTACATTGAAG